CTCACGGCGCTTCGCGCTTGGTGATGTGAGAGCCTGGTCCGGTGAGAACCCGGCGTGCTCCGTCCCGGCTTTGTAGGGATGCGAGGTCCACAGTCAAACAACTACGGCATACACGGCTTAGGACACCCCACCCCCCAATCATCGTGATATTGCAGACATCGATTTCCTTCATCTGTCGCCTGTTGACTTGCTGTTTTCGAAGAACACGGCACCGTGTCGGTTGGAATACCGTTGGAATACCGTTGAAATTCGTGATCGAAGACCATAACTTACCGGCCCGTCGTTGTTGCCGGCGGTCATCATCACCGGGCTCCATCCCGCCGCCCTGCCGATGCTCTTGCTACCGCCCGCTTGTTGTCGCAGCGCTGGTCCTGCTGCATACAACAAGAGAGCAAAATGCCATATGCATACCACGGCTCAGAAAAGGGCAAGCAAATACCAGCGGCTTGCCCGACTCAATACTGCTGTCAAGGGTACTAAAACCGTGAGAGGTCGGAAGTTAACGGGAGTTTGCACGCCGTTTCATGCAAAGAGCCGACAGTGATTGTTGCTGCGCAAGATTGAGCAGAACTGAATCCGCACGAACCCCGCTCGCGGCTGGATGTATGAATAGATGCGGTTCGTGTTAGTAGCTTTTTATTGAGGCGCGCGCCTGTAGGGGGCTTTGTTGCTTGTACTACAGCTGTGAGACTGATCTGCTTCATGTGAGCTGCCGCCTGTGAACCCGGGTGTTATCTACTACTGTAGATCTGGCCAGCGCTTACAAACATCAGGTATGAGTAGCTGTTGGATCGAACTGCTGAGCAGTGACTCGATAGCAGTGTGCCGGTGCGACTGTGCTGTCCTGCATGCACAAAAGAGCAATGGGTGCACAGCCCGGGAACCGGGCGCCTCTGGTTAAGGTGAACATGGCGAGAATGCGACCTTTAGGGGCAGTAGAGTGCACAGAGCACCAACGCATGACACGTGCACTTTTCTCCGGCCCGTCATGCATCGGGACGAGAAATCATCTCTGCTCCTGTAACTCTAATGAGCCAGACGCTGCCGTCCGACTGCGGTGGGAGCAGCAAGCTTCTCCAATTCAGCAGCAGTGCTCCACGCGTGCGTGATCGAGTTGCATCATGTTTCCGCGCAAGTCTGAGTCAACAGCAGCGCTCACGCAATCAAGAACAAGGGCATCCGACAGCTCACCAGGGACGTGGAACCCAGAGGACAAGGGGGCAATAGCCACCAGGCAAGCCAAAGCGTGTGCTGGTGCCAGGATCATGATTCAGCGGAAATGATATGTGCCAGCCTAGCCGCTGAGACGTAAAAATGCGGCGGAATCACGACATTTTCGTAGAGTTCAACAACCTTCTGAAGGCCAACTGGCGAAAATCTTTGTGCCGTTTTGAAGCGGTGGGTCGTAACGGTCGCAGCCTATCTTCGGTGACGACAAGGTTGAAATGCTTTTGTTGACACTCTCGATCTCCATCTAAAAGATTTCGGAGGCTGTTGTTGGGTGCCCTGGAAGCCTGTAGATATACGATATGATGAAGGAGGGAGATGACCTGGCAAGCACCTGGCCGAAAGCAACAACAGCAGTAGCCCGCAGGAAATCGTCGACGCTGTCCCACAGAACTACAGGATCGAGGTAATGTTAACACTGGTACTATGTGCAGATGGCAATTTATTGCTTGTACTGCTGTAGGAATCCGCAGCATGCGCGGGATCTCTAAAAGCCTCACTCCCCTCGTGATTCGATATCATTTATCGGGTTCTTGCCAAGCGCCCGTGGCACGCCAAGTGCATTCATAAACTACAGCAGTAGGGTGACAAAAGACTAGGCTACAGCAGTAGTGTAGGGTTATTTCAATACCCCCCCCCACGGAGGAAGTTGCTGAGCCGCCGGCTCATACAACATTGTTGAGTAGCTTCGACATAAGAACAGAACAATTTTGCTGTGTTTGCTGACTGACGCAGCTGCCGATGCTGTGCTGGTACTGCTAACTGTTGCTCGCGAAGCAGGGATAGCTCCCCTCACCCTCAAGCTAGATGGTCTCTCTGTAACTGCACGTGTCCACTTTTTGTCACTTTCCCAACACCTGTCTCTCCCGCTAGGCCTTGTCACCTACATTACAAATAGGAAAGCGGGAGGAAAGAAAACACAGGCCCACAGTAGTTACGCTCTGATAGTGACTCAACACATAGGTCTGACCGGATGTTGAAGCGTAGCTCCGCACAAGGGACGTGTCACACACCCGTGGCCGAACCAACCCCCCCCCTAACCCTCACCCCAAAACTGGGCACCGTGTTTCGTACAAGAACGCGAACAGCGAAAGAGCGCTGGAGAGTAAAAGACTACTCGATCGGTTAGAGAGGATACGGTCCTTAGATCAGGGACGAGTCGCTAACAGACCGAACAAACTACACAGAGAAATCACGCCAACGAGCAGAGTGGTTATCCTGCACAAACACGCACGAACACGCTCAACACTCACTACATATCCCAACACTGTGTGCCAGAACCTCTTGAGATACGCAACGTACACAGATCGCCTTTATCCCTTTCTTTCCCGAAGTGCATGCTCTTGTTGCATTGTAATTCCACCACCAGCGGCTTCTTCGACGCAGAATGCGGAGGGGGGGCAGGGAACGAGAATTTGCAAGACAACGACTCCCCCAGTCCGCCGCGAGTGCACCGAAGGTCCAGCAAGCGCGGCGCAGGCGTCTCCACGGTCCGGCGGAACAGAGCCCTCTGCCTCGCCCTCTGCGTCTCCGCGACGTCTCTCGTCTGGATCATCACGAGAAACCCGAACGGGGGGCCCCGTGGTGGTAAGTCGTGGCAGCAGCGCGGTCCCAACCCCCTTTTTCAACGCATCGACAATCAGCTCGGTTGTTGCAAGTTTTGGCCTTCCCTGGGACATGCCTTTTCTTCCCGGTAATGTATCGTGATCAGCACTCGATACCACGGTACGTGTCAAGGTACCTACAGTGTACAGTAGCCACATAGTCTAGATGGATGGTTTTGCCCAAGACGAGTCGTGCTGCTGACTATCTGTCTACCTCGCATGATGATCACCCAAACATACATCAGGGCAATGTGTGCGCGTGTCGAGAGAGAGAGAGAGGGAGGGATATATATATATGTATAGAGAGAGAGGGAGAGAGCACGAAGAATCATGTGCAGCTCCCAATGGAAGGGTGTTTGTGCCGAGGAAGATTACCCCGCCAATGTTCCTAGCTTGTGGTCCAGCTGCCAACAGCTCCCCGAATCTGTTCTAACTCCGTGGCTACTTCCTTTGCGTACCCGGAATGCCGATGAAACAAGCCCGGGTCGTTGAGTCAAACTGTTGCGAGGCTCCGTTTTTCAAGAAGACAACCTCACAACGGGCGGTGACAGCAGCGATGGACGATAGAAATAACGCTTCGTTCACCGTGGCGTCTCGAGAATAGATGCTTGGTCCTCGAGGGCGTTTTGCCTCCCCGCAACGCCCCGTCACGGTTCTCGCGACGGTATGCCGTGGGGTATGAAACACACGGTACTAGCCTCCGAGGGCTGAAAGACAAAACATTGCAAGAGCATATGCATACTAGGCAGAAAACATGTCGTCGCATCCATGGTCATCGACTCTGCAGGACTCGATACTCTCGGCCCCTGGCGCGTCGGCCTGAAAACGCCGGGGAGGGACAAGCCGTCCACGTCGGTAAGGGCCGGCCCTAACTGGGTACCTACCGGCCCCGAACAGGTGTGCGGGGAAAGGAGAATCTGGCCGCCTCTTTGATATATCTCAGTCGTCGTCCCATCTATTCTGGGTACCTTTGCGTGGGGGTCACACAAGAGGAATTTTCCGCCGTTTTCTCCTGCGGAGCTTGCCGCCGCCTGGTGTGTTAGCGGCGACGAGACGCGATAATGAAGCGGTGGAGGGACGCTTTATGTGGAATGATATTGCGTTCAGGTTTGGGGGCTGAATGTAGGAATCTGAGCTGTGAATACCCCCGCCCAGCTAGAACGAAGATATCTAACCCGACCAAGACACCGGCAGTGGTTGAGAAAGTGTCATCACTGCCGTCGAAGGATTAAAGGTGTGGTATTTGCATGGTAGATGTTGATATTCAATAAGGAAACGTACCTTCGCGACCAAAGCTTACAACAGACAAAAATGGAAAGTTGAGCGGTGATGGTGATTCCGCCCTTGGGGTATGCAAAGGCCAGCACTGGCGAATGCCTGGCGAGGAAACTAGCGCCCACCTCCCACTCCGTCACACCAACCGCTACAGTGGAGGGCCCTCAGCAGTGCCAGAATGTGCACCAACAAAGCACGGGCACTATTCAGAGGCTCCGGCACAATAATTGCGCGATGAAAAAACCTTAGTCTCTTTGTCGGCGTGCATTACTACTGTGACAACCGAATTCTCGTCCGGCACTACACGTAGTCAACCAGCGCTAGTGAGGGCCCTCGACGGCTGTGCTCTGTGTCGGACCGAGTGCATGCCGGCATGTATGTGAGCAGCGTAGTAGCAGACGAAACAACGAGCATCCCGGCGCGCTCTCAACCCGCCACCCGCGCCCCAGGGTACCGGCAGCGTAGGAGGCGGGCCCGAAGAAGCCTTCCGCCGCGCCGAGGCCAACAGGCAGCGCCGAGGGAAGCAGCAGAAGGCGCAGCCACAGGACCCTCCCGCGAGCTACCTCGAGAAGCTCGTGCATGTCCAGCAACAACAGCAACAAGAGCAGCAGCAGCAAGAAGGAGGAGGAAGGCCGGAAGACGCCGTCAGGGTTGACAGAGACTCCACCCACATCGCTCTCGCGGCCGCGCCTGGCGACGTCGGCCCCCGATGGCAGCCTCTCGGGGCGCCCTCCCGACCGGACAAAACCACCACCGCCGGCGGCGCTGGTGATGGAACGGGGGGTGACGCGGGTGATAACGGTTTCGGTGCGGGGGTTGTTGCTGCTGCTGCTGGCGGGGAGGTCGTTGGCGGGATCAGCGGCAAACTAGGCAGCAGCGCAGGCGGCCGCGTGTTTTACGCGGGAGGTGCTCTCGGAGGGGTAGACGCTGCCGCTCGCGCTCGTGCCGCTGGGGAAGGTGATGTGGAGCGGGCGGGAACGTGGGGGGCTTCCGGAGAGTCCCACCCCGTCACCTTCGACGACGAGAGCGACTTCAGCGTGGTGTATCCTGTCGCCGCCGCCGCCGCCGCCGCCGCCGGACCGAAGGCACCGAAGGCATCCTCCCTCGAGAGCGACACCCGTAAGGCTAGGGGGGTGGGTGAGACATCGATGCTGACTGACCCCGATGATGGAAGGGGACCATCCGACGGGATCATCGGTGCTGATGGTGATGGCGGTGGTAGCAGCGAAGTTCGTGGGAGGCGGGTAGAGGGCAACGGCGCGCCGGAAGGCGAGCGCTCGGCTGTGGGAGTTGCTGTGGACGAGAGCGAGGGACTGACGCAGCCCGAACATCTAGGACTCGATGCGGAGGAAGGCAGAAGCGACGCCGAAGGTTCCACGTCGGTGTACGACCAGCAGGCGCACAAGCAGAGGGATGAGGATAACAAGAAGGAGAAGGAGGAGGACGGTAAGGAGGAGGAGGAGGAGGAGGAGGAGGAGGAGGAGAAAGAGGAGGGGGACAGGGGCGAACAGGGCGACGCGGGAGAGAACAAGGGGGACAGACAGGGTAAGGGGGGAGAACGACAAGAAGGGGAGGCCCCTCTCGCCAACGCACAGCCATCGAACTCGGAGGCCATCCAGGCGGTTCCCGGTGTCATCGAGGCCGAACCTTCGGCAGACTCGGTGTCACCTCGGCCGGACGCCACCAGCACCACCACTAAGAAGCGCCGCGGAGAGGAAGGGGCCCCTGCAGGCGCGATGGATAGCCGAACCGGCTGGGGTGACGCCGATCCCGCGGCAGCAGATGGCGGTGGCGCGGACCCTGAACAGGGACGCGGGACGCCCGTGACGCGAGCGGATCGTGACGAGGAAGGGGCGGAGGGAGGGACAAACCGAAATGACGGAGGCGTAGGTAGGGGGGAGGGGGTGGCCGGTCAAGAGTCTCTGTTGCCCGGACCGAGCCAAGAGATCGTCAACCGCAGTGGAGGCGGCGAAGGAACCGGAGTTCCAGGAGATGCCAGGGAGGCGGTGCCTCTTGCTGCGCCCGCCAACGACAATCGGTCCCCAGACGGCGTCGACGACAAGCAGGTTGGGAATCGTTCATGTGTTCCAGACACTTTTGAGAGGCTCGGCATTTTTCCATTTGCTGCTCTCTCTTGGTACAGGAAATGGGGGAGGATAAAACCACAAAGCGTGCGGCTCCCGTCCCGATTACGAGCCGAGGCACGTCCACAACCCATCATCAATATATATTTAGTCATGTCAGCATCCATTACTACCCCGGATCTTGCAGTATTCGCCGCTTTGAACTCGAGCGAGAGCAATAATTGTGCTCGTCGATTTCCGTTGCTGTGAACCGGCAACAGCCTGCTCCGTCCGCAGTGAACCGACAAGCGGCAACGACCTTGTGCGCTCTTCTCCTCTCTTGTGTCCCTTCCGACCCGACACGGCCAGGCTGCACCTGGGCACGATAAACCGTTGGCCGCAGAGCGCGCGGTCGTCCGATTTCCGTCAAGGTACGAACGATACGAGGGGTCTTCTCTTTTCCCGTCTTGGGACATGATGAGTGGAAAACATCTATGTCGATAGCCGTAGCCGTGCTCCCCTTCATCGTGCCTGTGGCTTCGCTGCCTCGGTTGCAGCTGTTGTTCCCCCCGTGAGACGCTGGTCGATTAGTCTAGCTGGCTGTGGCTTCAACGTCCCCTCTTCTCGCTCCCCCACCTCCTCCGCATTCGACACATGCGGCACGTTCAAGCAGAATAATGAAGAAACCACCCTTGCCCGAAGGAACGATTATTCAGTTTCTGTGTATGTTCCGCGTAATCATGGTCTTAGACCCCCCCCCCCCCCCCCCCCCCCCCCCCCCCCCCCCCCCCCCCCCCCCCCCCCCNNNCCCCCCCCCCCTTCCGCGGACTTCACGAACGTCTCGCTCCGACCGCCGCCCTGCCCCAACCGCAGTCCCGACCGCGCTGCTCGTGGCCACAGAAACTCCGATCGATGGGAACAGGCACGAGGAGGGGGAACCGGCGAAGACGGCCAGCGGGCTGGCCGCAGCAACAACCTTTCAGCCGCAGGATCCGCCGCGCCCGCGTCCGCGGCAGGGCCAGCCGTGGTGCGCGAGTCCGCGTCGTTGGCGCGGGAGGACGTCGCCGCACAGCTCTCGGTGGAGACCACCACCCTTGGGAGGGCGGCGGGGAATGGTGAAGGGGTGGGAGCGGGGAATCCACCACTTTCGCCACCCGGTGGCAGTGCTGTTGAGCGCGGAGGCGTCGAACAAACACGAGGAGGAGGAGGAGGAGGAG